AAACTCTTTTCCCCGTTCACCAGAACCAAATCGAGTCTTTCTATGGCAAAAACCTCCAGTGGAACAAATATGAATCCCCCAAGGATTTAGTCTTAACCGTCCAAATGCTTGTCAAACGCATCTTCAACCGTTTCGAACAGAACACCTGGGAAGTTACCGATGTCAACACCGTTCTCCTCCACAACATCCGTGAGTTCATCACCGTCCTCGACAACATCTCAGAGAAATTCGAAACCAAAGTAAGTATAACTCGCTGGATTCGCTGACGTTGACTAACCAAAATTGTTTGCAGATGACCTTCGAACGTTCCCTTCACACCGAAAAGTACGTAGAAGAATTCATCTACAGAATCAAACAAATCAAAAGAGAACTCCAACAAACCATCAGCAACGAAGTTTTCACCAACTTGCCTGAACTCAAGATCCGCTTCCTCCGTTACATTGAAGTTGTTTCTGCCGAATTTTGCAAATTGATCGAGAACCAACAAGTATACGGCCTTGAAAGTTTCTTGATCAAGGATGTCTTCAACAGATTCATCTCCTTCTTGAACAAGGTCAGCTACGAACGCAGCTACGTCTCCGAGCACTACCCAATCAAGGGATTCAACGGTTTCTCCTCTAAGTATTATAAGGACAACACCATCGTCCCATCCAATTACAACAGCTACTCCCACGGGCTCCCAACTGTTTACAACCAATTGTACTAAAATGTGGTTTGCTGTGATTACTTGTGATCTCAGTATTTAAATAAATCTGACCTTTTTTTGTATATTCTTTTTTGTGTGTATTTCTACCTTCTAAAAATGTGTTTAGAATTATAAAAATTAGGGCGATTTATCTGAAAGCAAAGTGGGAAAAGATGTATCTAAACTTTTCGTACTTAGTGACATTTGGTATGCTTGAAATTTCAAACACCTCGTTCACCCGCAATTCGCATTTTGGTGGATTTCGCTAAAAACCCTCTACAAATTGAATACTAATTCAATTTTTGAGGCCACGTCTCATACACACACGAGAAAGACAGACCACGATTCGAGCTTTAAGAAACTATTGGGCCCTTGAGCGGCTACCCCTCGAAACGCGCCTTGCAAAAGGTGGTTAAGTTCGCTCCTAGGAAGAAAAACAAAATTCCGCCACGCAAGATTTGTTCGTTTACAAGATCTATCCGACGCAACGATACCAATTTGAAAACAAGATATGTACATGTTCACTTCTCGTCTTTCTACAAGCGATCTTCTATTGTCCCCAGAGACTATAACAAGTCCATGATTGACCCTCATTTGTTGCGAGCCAGCCAGCCGGCCAAAGTGAGATTAAAAGCTAACTTTTTACAAATAAACTCGCAAAAATGCGTTAAAAATTCTTAATAGTTTGTATGACAACATTTGTTAACCAACATGACATCCCAATAACTTTATCATTTTGAAGAGACGCCCTACTGGGCATACTACACTAAAAATAAGATAAACTACATAACATTTGGTTAGATCGATACAAACTACGTCATTTAAAATCAAAATTTTCCGTCCTCTGTCTGTCTGTGGAGACCTCGGCCCCTGGGCCACCTAGAGACTTCGGATTTTCGCTAATTGATAGCTGCTATGGCCTAGATTTGCCCGTTACGCATCATTTACAGTTGTGTTACGCGGCAACACCCATGAGTGGGTTTTGAAAACATTTATTTCTTTTGAACTCTAATAATTGGTACATCAAAATAACTCCGGCGGTTTCTTAATAATATATAATAATGGTTTTAGGCCGTGACCAAATACACAGAATTCTTTTGTGCAACAACAGCATTAACATAAAAAAAGACAACTGCGTGCGTGGCTCATTAATAAACAAAAAATGCATGGGGCCGATCCGAACTAAAGAAGGAAATGAATTTTTAACTTGTAAAGAGAGCGATCGGGAGGCCAGTGAATAAGGTTCATTGTAGAACAACTTACTGAGTAGAAATATGCAACTTAGACTGAATGAAATCGTCGAGTAAAGACAGACATACGTATCGAGCCCAAAAAGATATGCAACACAATTTTATGAATTAGAATTTATTATACATTTAAGGAATACGATTACGCTTATTTGATACTATGTGGTTTTGCCAATTTATCAATGTGTAATACTTTTATTAACTACATAAATTATAAAATAAACAAAAAGATAAAGTAATGTCTATTTGTTTTGTTCAAAGTACTACCTTACATTTACTACATATCTATTAACTGAGTTCAATATATATTAATTTGCACATCATACCTATATAAACTTGTGTGTGGTCTGATGTGGAATAAATTTTACGATTCCACAAGCAGCTAGTAAATTATATTTGAATTTAGATGAAACGAGTAATTATCTTATTTTGTTTATCTCTTTGGTATTTTAATTATATTTAAATTCATCATTTCATGAACATAAATTGGAATATTTCAGAGAGGTTTGTATTGGTTTAGGGTTATTGTAAAACGTTTACTGCGGCAGTTAAATTCCGCAAGAAATGGGCCAACCATATTACTACATCTGTCAGTGGGGCCAAAATTCTGCCGCTATCTTTGGTACTGTAAACCCGTTTCTATTTTTTTTACTATTTCTCCGCGTTTCCTGTGAATCTGAGCTTACCTCGCGCCAACCTTGAGCATGATAATTTTATTGCGCCATTAAAATCAAATAAAAATTCTATGACAGATCCTGCATGCGTCTTACTCAAATGACTCTTTTTGGAAAGTTATTGATTTAAAACAAATTTTAGAATAAAAAATGTTAAAACTCTATCTAGCTATCTAATAGAACAACTATGCCTCATAATTAACTACCCTAAGAAAATTCAATTCCAACCGCTATCAAAAATCAACCCCCTACCTCTCTCAGTTACATGCTTCAGATTTTGTTAATTTTTTTGGATATATTTTGAATTTTCCTAATTTTAGCACGCATATACCTATTCCCAAAAAAATGAGGATGAACGTATTAATAGCAATAATATACTTATAGGACATTAAAATCGCAATTTTTTGCATTTAGCGTATTGCAAAACATCTTTTCGGCCATATCCCACAAGTTGGATTGGATTAATTAAAAAAAAGATCGGTTACGCAAAATTGATAAATGTAATACAAAGTTAATAATAATTATTTTGATAGCAGATAAGTATTTCAATGCATTAACTATGAATGAAACTATGCCATCCGCAAAAATTTTTGCAACAAAGCGCGTTTCTTTATTCACTCAAATTGCGGACTCGCAAATAATCAATATTCAAGTGTCCTCACGATAATCCAATCAATTCCTGCAGAAGAAGTAGCAAAAAATATTATTCGTCGCTTATCTAATTGTTATGCGAGAAAGGTGATGTGATAAGAAGGTGAATGAAACCAATAGGTCAAATGATGGGCATTTTTGTAGTATAAATAGGCACCGAATTTTGGATGTCGGCACTTCACTTGTTGAGGCAAGCAAGCATAAGTGAACATGGCAAAGTTAGCGATCTTCTTCTTGGTGGCTGTGGCTTTTCAAGTAAGTAAAACTATTCATTTCGGTAAGTTTGATAATCATTGGATTTTGCTCTTCTTAGGCCAGTTTCGCCGTACCAACCTTCTACGAAGATAATACTCTTCTTAAGTACGTAAGCGAAATCCGCAACGAAGTACAAGACATCACTTTGTACCTCGAAAAAGACTTCCCCGAAGATCGCTTGGCTCTTAAAACCGTCACTTGGCAATGTCACAAACTTGTTGAAGCTATCCAAGTAATCATCAACAAGCTCCACGAAGAAACCTTCACCTACCAAAGTGAAGGAGTTGGCATCTTCAGAGAAGTCGTCTCCCTTTTGAAGGAAGTGCGTGACTCGCTCAAACAAATCACCCTCTACAATGAAATCACCAACATCCACGAAGTTAAGAAGAACTTCATCGTCTCCATCAACCTGGTTCTTGAGCGTTTCGAAAAATTGGTGCAACTCACCTACAAACTCTACCCTGAATTCCAATACACTTTGAAATACCTTTTCGTCGACTTCTTGACTACCATCCGCGGAATCCGTTCCCACTTTATCCACATCAACGAAGGTTTGGAAGTTGTCAAAGCTCCACGCGTGTTGATCAAGGAAATCCACGAATACACCAACGAAGTTACCCAGCTTCTCCAGGAAGTTGTCCACCCAACCCAAATTAAGGTAGCCCTCCGCGAATACCTCATCGCCGTCAACGAAATCGTCCGCAAGTTGCAAGAAGAGGTAAGTCCGAAAAATTATAATTCGAACACTTTTAAACGGATTCTCTTTTAGACCGTCATCGGACACAAAGAACTCGATCTTGTCTTACATCAACTCACCAACAAACTTCGTGAAATCGTTTATCCCGTCATGGAAATCATGGCCGAAAACACCGTTGATGTGAAAGTCTTCAGAACCCAAATCATCAGCAACTTGCGCGAAGTTGTTGCCATCTTCGAGCAGTTGGTACAACTCTGCGAAGATAAAGTCTTGCGTAAGTAACCTCAGGATGGGTTAATGGTAACAGTGTAGGTGATTCTTTGTCTTTTTGCAGCCGTAGAAATCAAAACTCTTCTTGTCAGAGTCATCTACCAATACTTCTACGCCGTCAAGCACGTTATCCAAGAAACCAGATTCGGTAACAAGATCGGTTTCTACACTCCCAAGTACTACAGTACCGAATATTATGGCAAGCACGGATACGGACTCTACGAAAAGGAATTCCACAACCGCTTCTACACCCCATACAAATACGAATCCAACTACGAAATTCCCTTCGAATACAAAAATATCGAAAAGAACTACTACAACCCGTACAGATATGAAACTCTTTTCCCAATCCGTAAATTCGAAGCAGAATCTATCTATGGTAAGGCTTTGGAATGGAACAAGTACGAATCCAATGTTGCCGTTCCATCTTTCAACGAAGGCAATACTCTCTTCAAGTACTTGAACCAAATCCGCTCCGAAGTACAAGACATCACTTTGTATCTCGAAAAAGATTTCCCAGAAGACCGCTTGGCTCTTAAAACCGTCACCTGGCAATCGCACAAACTTGTTGAAGCTATCGAGATCATCATCAACAAACTCCACGAAGAAACCATCACCTATCAAACTGAGATCTTCAGAGAAGTCGTCTCCCTTTTGAAGGAAGTACGTGACTCCCTCAAGCAATTCACCGTCTACAACGAAATCACCAACATCCACGAAATTAAGAAGAACTTCATCGTCTCCATCAACGTCGTTCTTGAGCGTTTCGAAAAATTGGTAAACATCACCTACAAACTCTACCCTGAATTCCAATACACTTTGAAGTACCTTTTCGTCGACTTCGTCAACACCCTTCACGGAATCCGCTCTCACTTTATTCACATCAACCAAGGCTTAGAAGTTGTCCAAACCCCACGTGTTTTGATCAAGCAAATCCACGACTACACCAACGAACTTACCCAACTTCTTCAAGAATTCGTCCACCCAACCCAAATTAAGGTCGCCCTCCGTGAATACCTCATCGTCGTCAACGAAATCGTCCGCAAATTGCAAGAAGAGGTGAGTGGGCCAAATTATAGTTCGAACACTTTTAAACGGATTCTCTTTTAGACCGTCTTGGGACACAAAGAACTCGACCTTGTCTTACATCAGCTCACCAACAAACTTCGTGAAATTGTGTACCCCATCATGGAAATCATGACCGAAAACACCGTTGACGTGAAAGTCTTCAGAACCAAGATCATCACCAACTTGCGCGAAGTTGTTGCCATCTTCGAGCAGTTGGTACAGCTCTGCGAAGACAAAGTCTTGC